GGTCAGAGGAAAGTGAGATGCAGGAAGAGATGTGGTTTCCACTTTGAGAATATGCTTGAAATTTACCCAAAGAACGTTGTGAGAATGTCATTGGATTTTTGCATCAATATTATTTGCTTCACCTTGCTTTTCCGATGCCTTTTTGTCCACAAGTTTCGCGTGAGGGAGGGAGAGAAATGAAATACTTTGGGGGGAGGTAAGCAAATTGCCATTGGGATTACTGTGATTTGACATCTCATTTTCCAGGTCTGTGCCCGTGGGCGCACCCTGGCCTTTCCTCCTTTTGCTCCACTGCCTGTGTGTTCCTTTCTCTGTGTCCTGTCTGTGATTCCTTTCCTCCTCCTCTGTTTGCAGCAAGATCATTCTTGGTTTGTGACCCTGTCCACCCAGTGGCCCCAGTCATACCTCTCTGGCCTATCAAAATTTTGTGGCTCCATTTTAAACTCGAGTTTCTCCTCCATAAGAAATACGGCCAATATTGATCTTTCTCTTGACTCCTGTTTCATAGAATTCGGGTCTGAAGTGGATATTACCTTAATGGTTTTCACTTTCTTCCTCTTATTTCCCCCCAATTAGTTTTAGGTTCCTTGAATAGAGGGGCTTCTTTAATCCATTGTCTATATTAATATCTGTGTAGTTTATAGCAGAGAATTTGTTTTTTTTTTTTTTGTTTTTTTTTTGGATGTTTTGGAGCCTCTTTCTCAGAGGTCTGAAAGCCAAAATGGCATTCTGGAATCTCAGTCTTACAAAGCTGTCAGCCCCTGGTAAAAAATGCAATGGCCTATTGAAATTACAGCATCTTCTAATGCAGTGTTCTGGTTATCACTGTGTGACAAAAGGAATGCCAGTTCTTGCCAGACAGGTCTCCAGGTCAGTCAGCGTACAGCTGTGCGTCATGTTGTCTCTGTGTAATGGGAGACCAGCTTAGTTTAGAGTTGACATCCTTTGGAAAGGAAGAAGGAAGGAAAACGCACACTCTACACGTACGGGGAAGAGGTTCGAGCAGATGTGGTGAAATATGTTCCGGCACTCAGGAGGCTTCTCAGCTTGCTTTCTTATACCATAAAAATATTCAGCCAATTTTTTTTTCTAGTGATCAACTATAACTGGGACATGGAGAGTTGGAGTGTGATGTGACTTTTTTTAAAGTGTGGTATTTCTTTTTCTTTTCTTTCTTTTTTTTTTTTTTTTTGCAGTTTTTGGCCAGGGCTGGGTTTGAATCTGCCACCTCTGGTATTTGGGGCTGGTGCACTACTCCTTTGAGCCATAGGCACTGCCCTAAAATGTGATATTTCTTATACTATATCCTATTCTGTTTCATTTAAAAATAGTTAAATTTTTTTATCCTATTATTGGTTATATACTACTAGCGAGGCTCAGTTGACTAATGGTATAATAACAAATAAACCTTAAAATCCCAGGGGCTTATGAAGAAAACAAATATTTCAGTTTTTTTTGTTTTTATTTTTACTTATTTATTTTTTTGAGATGTAGTCTTACTCTGTCACTATCAGTAGAGTGCTGTGGCCTTATAGCTCACAGAAACCTCAAACTGTTGGGTTCAAGCTACCCCCTTGCCGCAGCGTTCGGAATAGCTGGGACTACAGTGCCTGCAACAACACCAGGCTATTTTTGGAGATGGGCTCTCGCTCTGGCTCAGGCTGGTCTTGAACTCCTGAGCTCAGGCAATCTACCTGTGTCAGCCTCCCAGAGTGTTAGGATTATAGGCGTGAGCCACCACACCTGGCTAGTTTCGTTTTTCTTATGTCGCAATTGGAAGATTGGGTGGTTTTGGTACTCCCCAGCTGGCTCTTCCTGCAAGGATTCAGGGACCCTATGCTGATATATTCCAGAGACATATTTGCCTATTCTACTTTGTTAAAGGATGGTATAATCAGTTTATCTATTGAACAAAACAAAATAAAACATGAGTACTTTTATGCATGCAGATCAGATTCTTCCTTCCCCATTCAATTTTTTTTTATTTGAAGTATTCATTAATTGTTAATTACAGCAAAACCTAAGAGCCTGAAACCATTAACAGGATTGTAGACCTCAGCACATGGACTTGTTCTTGTAAAAGACAACTTGTATTCTGAAAAGTTTGTTAAGATTTACAATAACCCCCTCTTTTATCCTAGGCTATAGTTGTATTTCATGTTTCATATGCAAATGTGAGTGATTATAAATTGGTTTCACAGTAGTACTGAGTACATTGGATTATTTTGGTGGAGGAGATAGGAAAGGAGGGGGGTGGGTTGATAGAGGGAGGGTTGGTAGGGGGACCACTCCTATGGAGCATATTGCAAGTACAAGTTGGATCTACCAGGTGTAGAGCATAAATGTCTTAATCCTGTAATTGGGTGTAAGTGATGAAGGCTATGTAAGCATCCCAATTTGTACAAATAATTAACCATTTGATTGATTATTGAATGCCATTTGATTGATTATTATAATGCCATTGAATACTATAATGGCATAAATGTATTTATGATCTATGTACGAATGACTTAATTAATAAAAAAGAATTACTGCTTCCACCTTCTACTTAAATTGAGAACTCATTCAAAAAAAAAAAAAAAGATTTACAATAACTGGCCTTCTTTTCACCCCAACTCTAGAACAGTGTCTGACAAAACTCAGTGACACAGTGTTTGTTGAATGAAAACTCAAAACTTTTCTTACCTCTCACTGTAAAGCTAATTTTTTTCATTATATTACCTGTTTAAAAATACTTCCTATCTCAGAGTGGCACTTGTGGCTCAAAGGAGTAGGGCACCGGCCCCATATGCTGAAGGTGGCAGGTTCAAACCCAGCCCTGGCCAAAAACTGCAAAAAAAAAAAAAAAAAAATTTCCTATCTCCTCCTATCCTGGCCCATATTTGCAATGCATGCTTTGGAATGAATATTTGGACTTGATGTTCAAGCCCAAATTCAACTTTAAAAATAGGAGGAAGAGAATATTTCCCAAACTGAAGAACTCCCCCCCTTTTCTCCTGAACTAACATAAGTCTTCTGTAACTTGAGACTTAGTGAAAGCATCAGATATGTAAACTGTAAAGATGAAAAGAAGAGAGAAATAGATTAAAGAGACTAAAGATAGTCCCTAAATTAAAACAAATTCCATTCAGTGGCATTTTTCAAATATCACCTGAATCACTCTGTCTGGAGTCTTTTCAGCTGCTTTATACATCACAGCCTTAGAGACCGCACAGTATGGGGCAGAAAAGATAAGGCATCAATTATGAACAAAGGAGAAAAGAATTTTATGTTTTCATGGTTTAAATAGAATATTGCTGATCAATTTTTCACTTGAATGACCCTTATCAAATGATTGTTTTTCTAGAGCAGAAAGCAGGGTTTGAAAAACTCTATAAATCAAGCAATCTGCATTCACGTCTTGATGATCTGCAAATCACTTACTTTCATTTGCTAGAGTAAGGCAGACTCACAAAATCAATAGTCTTGCTATTTGTTTATGCTGTATACATTTTTCCTCTTTGGAAGAGTTCATAAAGCTGAGTTTTAACATTTTATTGAACTAAAAAAAAAATGAGAGAGTATCTCTAGCAAACGTCTTCGGTTCTCTTTACCTGTGTTTCTGTTGTCTTGTATGAGGAATGCTCATTTTGAGCATTGGTGAGAGGTCGGTCGCTCAATGTGTTATGTCAGTGATGGGCCTTTCTGCAAATAATTTATGAAAATAGGTATGCGGTAACCTGGTCAGAGATGAGCTTAATTGTGTTTGTGAGTTAAGGACTGACACATATTTTAGAAAATAAAATGTTAACTTATTTCTTTGGAGGTCACAAAAATGGAATTGGGTTCGTATAAAGAATTTTCACATGAGAATAATACAGAGTTTCCATGAGGATTTCAGATCAGAGTATTGGTTTAAATCAATATCCATCCCAAACTCAAACGGTTAGGGGCAGTAAATATTTGCCTGTTAAACGCATTACCATCTTGCCTCTTGCTCTTTGTGTTTCTGAGACTGAGAGCATGAACCCTAAAGAGATTCTGTGCTTTCATATTAACTATGGAAATCTGCTCTGGAGGAATTCTATTGTGATACCACGTACCTTTCACTGTACCTGAAATATGTTCTTGTGTAATAAATGAATTGCTACCATTTACCAAATAATGTACTTGAATATTTTCCCTTAGGTTCCTATCAGATTGTTCCCAAAATTGAAACTCAGCTTGCCTTCATGTCTGACCCTCTTCCTGACCTATAGTTATAAATTTTAGAGTTTCAGTAGAGTTTCAGTAGAGAAGAGTAAACATAATGCTGACTCTGGGTTTTGAGCACACACCTGAGCTTGTCAAGAATTGAAAACAAGAATCAATTTCTGGTCTGCCCCTGGCTTACCTAAAGATTTGAGGAAAAGTTGGGTCTGCCTCCCATCCCGCTTAGCTAAAATCAAAATTCAGCCTGACTCTAAATATTTAGTGCTTTCACAGCTTTTCTATGGATTTTATGTCGTCTTAATATCTATAGGTATAAAAGAAGAAAAAATGTTCTCTTAAGACTTGAAATATTTATTGGGAAAATAAAGGGAACTGGATATTTGCCATTTTGTTTTATTTTCTATTTTTTAATAAGGCCTTGTAGTTTATTTTGATTATAGTTAAAATTACAAAACAGTCTTATGTGTGGGCCAATTCGTTGAAAACTGAAAATGAACAAAATAAGGACAAAAGATGGAATAATTGTCTTTACAATGCTTAATGTTCTGAGGGCTGGTTGGTGTACAAAACCTGCGATCTCATCACTTGTCAATTTTTCTAAGTCTTCTTAATACTGTCAAATCATTCAAAACTGTTTGTAATTTCAACAGTTTCTGTGTTCTGATGTTTTAGGGGGAGGATTGTTTAATTCTTTTTTAAATGACCAACCAAATCTCTACCCAATTTGAATAAATCAAGCCAGAAATGTCCTGACAGTGCACCAAACGAGACCTGTGTGTATAATGTGAGTTCTTTCTTTTTAATTTTAGAATCAACCTTGTCCTATGTTAGGCAGCTGGAGGCAAGAGTAAGACAGCTGGAGGAAGAAAATCGCATGCTGCCCCAGGTGGGTGACTTCCAGAAGCTCATAGCTAGTCAGTGTCATTTGAGTTGTAGCATTTTATTTGGAATTTAAAATCTCAGTTACATTTGCTCCTTTAAATGACAGACATCATTTCGCAAATAGTCATTCATCAATGTAGAGTGTGGTTATGTTCCATGATGGCCATCGTATTATTCAGATTTCTAAGTGTTATACTGAAGGATGCAGATGTCTGAAATAAGAATGTGAAGTAATTGGGGAAGGAAGAACAAAGGAGAAAGAGGAAATGAAGAGACGTAGTAAAGTGAAGACACTCTGAATAGTGCTGCTCACGTGCTTTGTGCATGTAGTGGGGGGGTGTCGGGACGGTACTCTTATTTAAGTTGGAAATTGGCTAATTTATGAACTAGTCATAGCGTAGGCAGCTTGAAGGTGTCACATTTTAACAAAATCCAGACTTTCTAAAATTCTTTGTGATATAATTGAACTCCTTCAATGCAACCATGTGCTGACAGTAATTGACAGATTTTACTCTGGGACTTCTTTGTGAATATTAAGTGGTACCTTTTCTGGTATGTTTAATGTCTTGCCATGTTTTTCAGTTATAGAATCATTTTTGTGGGCTAACTTGTTGGTCTGGGGGGTGGTTATTTTGAAAAACTGTGTTTTAATGTTTTACAAAAAGAAGTTTTCTAATTAGTCACTAGGGTTCGTCCCACATTCTGGCAATTAATTCTGTTTTATAAAAGATTAAGGGAATATTATACCTCAAACAGTAGTTTAAATAAAAAGACAAAAATTGGTTATATTTTAGGAGAAGAGATTGGAACATCAATGCCAAGACCCTTTGGGAGGACATTACAGGTCTTTAATCTTGTTTTGGTTTTAAACTACTTTTGCTATTAATGATGATTTGAGCTTTCAAATACTGTGTCTAAGAATGCCTTTTTCTTTATGGCATTGGCCAACAATCTACTATAGCAGCCCGTATACCTTATGGCTAGGAGGAGTCAGAGTTATAGGAAATACCTGTAATGGAACACCTTGGTGAAAAGGGCATGGAGAGAGATTTGGTTCTAACAAGCATGAGTGAGCTCGTGAGATGAGAGCATTGGTGAATTGGCAGTCTCTACACCTGTGGTGTTGAGACGCACGAGCTCAGCCTTAGATTAGGCTGGAGGAGAAGGCAGTCAAGAGGCATGTGCATTCTATCACAGATCTACTTACTCTGTCTCCTCTCCTGCCTGCAGAATGCCAGCACGGCGTCTCTCTGCTGAAGATTACCAAGCTCTGCCAAAGACTAAGATCTATCTGTTCTAAGAAGACTGCTTTACTCTCTCTAAGACTCTCTCTCTCTCTCCCCCTGCCCCAGCTTAAGTAGATAGCCCTCAAGCACCTAAGAGTAACTGTTCCTGAGCAAGGTAGCTTAGTGGTCCGCGTCCAAAACCTACCTAAGCTGGGCCCGAGACCTGGCCAGTCCCGGGCCCTGACAAGCGGTGTCAGAAGCAGATCCTGACAAGTGGTGCCAGAAGTGGGATAGTGGATGCCACTGACAATCTACCCAGTAATCATGAGATGAAATGAAATGAATCTACAGTAGGCTTCCCTTTCACAGGACATATGTTCCAAGATCACAAGTGGGTGCTTGAAACTGCAGGCAGTACTGACCTTATCTATAATATCTTTTCTCCTATATGTACATTTGTATGATAAAGTTTAATTTTTTAATTTGGCATAGTAAAATATTAACAACAATAACTAATAATTAAGTTATTGTTAGTAAAGCTTTATTAAGTAAAATAGGGATTACTTAAACATAGGCCCTGCGATACCGTGATAGTTGATCTGATAACCGAGACAACTGCTAAGTGACCACTGACAGGCAGGAAGTGCAGACAGCATGGACGGGCAGGACAGAGTAGAACAGTGAGAGAGTTCATCATGCTTGTCAGAATGGCTTGAATTGTAACACTTATGAATTGTTTATTTCTGGAATTTTCCATGTAATATTTTTGGACTGCATTTGACCACAGGTCACTGAACCCAGGGATTAGAAGAGATTACTGTATTTGCCACTTTCCTCACACTGTCCGTATGTGAAACTTCATGACGAGGAGATTGTGTCATGAAATAAAATACTACTACTAATTTTTTCATTTAACTTCCCTTTTTAAAAATTTAATTTAATTTTATTCTATTTATTTATTGCCTTTTTGTCTTTTATATGATTGACAGTCAGTGCTTGGTAGGGCCTTTGACTGAAAACTCCCAACTTCTTCCTTGTTACCAAAAAACTGAAAAAAAATATAGTTAATTAAATAGGGTTATATCATCTCTCAGGCATCTGGGAATGTAGAAGAAAAGAAATAGAAAAAAAAAATGATGTTTCTTCATTTCTCTCTGAGAGGAAAGTGAGGCTGACATCAAACATGGAAGTACAGGCAGGCATGCCATCTTATTTTAAAGAGAGGCATGAGAAATGTGAAAATGATTACAGGATTAATTTTTTAAATCTGCAAAAGTGAATTGTAGTAGTCTTGAAAGAAAATCAGAAGAGCCCTCCACCATCCTTGAAATATGTCTGTGTGTTTAAATACATGGTACTCGCATAGTTAAGAGGCGGTGAGACAAAACAACTTCAGTTATTCAGTTATGTGCTTTTAATTGCATTGCTACTTTGCTATCAAGGAAGGTTATTTTTTTTTGATTCATTTTGTTGTGATTCATTTTGGGGTTTTTCCCCCTGCCACAAAATGGCTCATCAAGATTATATTTTATTGAATCTTAAATGTTATATACATCATTGTAGAGGTACTATACCACTATAAAAGAAAAAAAAGATGTTGTTAATTACACCATATCATATTCTTGCTGATTTCAGGGATGTTAGAAATGAGAAAACAAAGTTTTAGTTTTAGTTAAACAACTATTTATTGCCAAAGTACTTTAATGCAAAGAAAATCTGTTGTTTGAAACATGCTATTGGACATGTACAAAGAATACAATAGATCTTCTCAGTTCCAAAACAATATTTCTGTTAAATTTCTATGTTGGGTAGTGTTTTTTTTTTTTAATTTAAAAATAAGATAGAGTCAATAAAACCACCAGTTGCAGCTACTCCTATAAACAGAAACTCACATGAACACAGATAGTAGATGAGACTCCAGGATGGAATGTAATTGGATCTCAGATCACTGAAAATGGTGAAGGGCATCTTCATGGAAGGCTGAGACGTGGGCTGGATAGCACAGAAGCATCTACCGGTGCAGCTTACTCATATGTGTTGCTGGTGTTTCAAATAACGTCTGATCACCTACAGAAACTATTTCTGACTCCATGATGTTAGCTGATTTACAAGGTCAATTCAAAGAGATAAGCTGGCATTCCTGCATAAATTAGTTTCAATTTTTGTACACTTGATTTTCATTAAAAGAGCACATTCACTGTGCCTTAATTAGAAGGAATTCCTTTTTATTCCCAAATTTATTAAAGTATGTCTTTGAATAAAGAGGAATAAGAATATAACTGGCAATTGGAATCTCACGTATATCCAATACCTGTGATATTTGATATACTTGGCTGTGGCCAGGTTTTTTGCCGGTTTAGACTAATTTTATAAAGCATTTAAAGTATTGCCCTGGAGAAAGAAATATTCCTTAACACTTACTTTTGTTCTTTATATAACATTTTGTGTAATGAATAGAAAGTCACAACTTTGCCCTAGCAATATATATGTGTGATATATATGTGTATATATATACGTATATGTGTGTGTATATATATATTTATCCTTTTTTGTTTGTTTGTTTGTTTTTTGTTTTTGAGAGAGTCTTACTCTGTTGTCCCAGGCTAAAGTGCCTGGGCATCCCAGCTCACAGCAACTGCAAACTCCTGGGCTCAAGCTATCCTCTTGCCTCAGCCTCTGGAGTAACTGCAAATACGGATGCTCATCACAACGCCAGCTACTTTTTACATTTTTAGTAGTGACGGGTTCCCACTTTTGCTCAGGCTGGTCTTGAACTTCTGAGCTCGTGTCATCCACCTACCTCCGCTTTCCACAGCAGTGAGATTATAGGTGTGAGCCACTGAACCCATCCAAGCAATATATATATTTAAAAATAAATAAGTTTGGTATAATAAATGCTGGTGGACTTCTCTCTATTCAAGTGCAGAAGCCTCAGTTTCTTTACTTGTAAATGACAAGGTTCTTCCCAGCTCTTACATTCTGTGGGTCCAGGTATAAATAACAGTTTGGACCCATGTCTTACACCTGAGCAAAGTTAACTCTGCTATGGTCTCTATAATATCCTACAAGGATCACTGAGATATATTTTAAATCTAGTATGTGAACATAACATTTCAAAGATATCCTAAGTGAAAACCAATCTCATTATTTTTGGAAAATCCAGTATTATTGCTAGGTGTTATTGAGAAGATAATGCCTTTTCAAAGTTGGTACAAATAGTAGTTAAAGATCATTTGAATTTAGGATAGTCTCTCCTGAGCACAGAAATTAATATGAACATTTTTTAAAGATCAAAATTTAAAATACCTCCAAAATTGTATATAATCCTATATATAACACATAATGCTAAAATGCCTCACAAAGGTCAATTCCACTATATGTATATTTTATGTGACATGAGCCCCAAATGAAGATTGTTATATAAATATACCTGCTATCTATGAAAATTTATTAAGTTTTAAATCCAACGAAGTAGAAACCCTCACAATAACATGAGTAGGCATTTTTAACTAACAGACCCAATATGATGTGAAGTTGTGGTTTTAAGAAATTTTGTGTCAAAATAAAAAGGGGAAAAATCTATTTTATGTATATACTTACAAATAAACACAAGCTTACTCTGAATAAATAAAGGCACAGATTTGCAGAGCTGGATGGAACCTTATATATCACATAGGATAATTTTCTTTTTTAGCCAGGGCATGTTGGGTTTGTGGAAGTTAAAGGAATATCGTTCCAGTCAGGCAGCTGACTGGGGATGGATTTAAATGTAGGCCTA